AAATTGCGTGTTACAGTAGTATTATATAATATTTAGCTTCTGGATTTGGCATTAACTACTGCACATCTATAAATTATGGGACAACTAAAATTTTTCTGATAATCGAATCAAAAGTTACTGAGTCAAAATTAATATGTTGCTAATATCGATTAAAACTAAAAACTTAATCATAATTTTTCTATTGTCACAGAATTTATGAATCAAATATATTTAGTAAAAATTCAAGACTTATTAACTTTATTGATAGTAAAATGCAGGGTCTTTTATACAATTTTTATTACATTTTCTACTACATCATTAATTAAAACAACTTAAACTTATTTCAAATCTAATGCTATTTTAATTGCCAACTGTCCAATTATAAGTAATTAAAGCTAAATATAATAACTACAAATATAAAATATGAATTTGATGAAAATAAACATAAAATTATAGTGATAGTACCATAAACTGCCGGATACAAGAATCTTCTAGATATCAGACCCAATGGGTTATATAAATAGGAAAAACCGAATAAATAGAATAAACCTACAATAGTCATACTCACTCCCATATAAGAGGCCCATGGGTCTACATATAAGTTTTAAAATTGGTAAATGTAACAGACCCGAGTTTTGTATCCGGCAGTTTACAGTTATATAAGCAATAAATAAAATATAAAAATACAATAAAGAGTAATGCGGGGAAAGATTTAAATGACATATGGACAATGAAATGCAGCTAATTATAAATTTAATAAACGAAAATATTGTAGTAATTCATGGTCTAAAACCATATCAAAAGGTCTATTTGTGCTAACCTTAATGACATTACTTATATATATACCGACTTTAGGTGGCATATATAATTTTAAGATAGAACTTCATGATTCAAAAGCTTAGATTCTATTGAAATTATGAAATTTGTTTCAATATAATTATGAAAAAATAATAAAATAACAGTTCTAAATTGTGAAGAAATAATTTCATATGATTCAAGTTGAGATGTATACTTTGCATCTGGATGTTGTTATGAAATTTGCAAAATTTCCAATTGTAAAAAACCAATTTCATCTGTGTTTAAAAAATCATTTTAATTTTACGTTCATCATAATTTAGTTCTTCTTTATTGAGAATTATTGGTGAATTTACATATAAGGGCCCGAAAAGTGAAAATAATTACATATAAGGGCCCAAAGTGAAAATAGTTACATATAAGGGTTAAAAAAATATTATAATTAAAGGAATAACATTACAAAATTTGTCTTTTAACATTTAAACGTATTGTTTTTTAATTAGTATCGCATTTATTCTCAACGCCTTTCATGTAAAAATTATAACCACTTTTGCCGATTTTTAAAAGTATTTAACTTTCTCTACGGATAAAAATGAACTTCTCCGGTTCTAAATACTACGATTAATGCATAGTAACCTTCACAAAATATTGATTCATTAGTTTGGTATAGCAACAGGATAAATATATAAGCTTAGAACCAAATAAGCATTAAATACCAATATATGTGTATTTACCTAGTTGAATTCTTTCATGGTTAAAAGAAAGTTCAAAATGTTTAAATCAATATATATATACGTTCAAAGAAAACTATAATCATAACGTTATTTTGGCCTTTAATTGTAAAACTTTTCAAAATTTGGGCTCTTATTTTCACTTTGGGCCCTTATTTTTAATTAAATTCCCAGAATTATTTTCATTCTCATAATTTCTAATAAACTTCCTTAGCCGTTGGTCATTTTGTTGGATCACTATCCATACAAGTTTAACATAACATTCAGGTGTTCTTTTTACAAATTCTGGTCTCAATCTGTCAAAATTTTTGTATTCGAACTATCTCTAGTGATAAATTTTCAAAAAGTGGTTTTCTGAGACTAACTATAAATGTCTAAAGCCTTTATATACGGTTTACCCGATAATATTTCGTCAACAACAAATAGTACTACTCCTCCATACGTTCCATTATCTACATTAATTTCATTTATTTTACTAGAAAGTCCTAAATCTGAAATCTTTAGTTCAATATTTGACATTTTCCCAATATCTTGTGTAATCATTATTGCTTTATTATTCACAATATAAGTACTGTATAATAAAGCATTTAAATCAAACCTTCCAATTCTAACAATAAGTATCCAGATTATCTGATATAGAGCAAAGGAGTTTTAAGTTTTATTTCCAAAGACTTGCAAACTCGAAAATGATCATACAGTTTGTTTTAATAATTATGTATACAGAAATAAAGTTGTATTGTGTGACAATAATTTGGACTACTGATAATTTAATGGCATTCATATTTCTAAATTAATTAGAATAAAATGAAAGTGTTACTTCTCTGTTTTTAGAAAAAGTAAAAGAAAAATTTGGTAAGCCCTTACAGGTGAAAAAAATAATTAAAATTGAGTAATATCATGAATAATAAAACATTTATCTTTAAATATGACCCAAAAATTACTCTAGAGGGAATGTTCGTTGATTTTTGAAAAGCCCATAGTAAAGACTCACAAACTTGAATAATCTATTGAAATACTTCAGTTTATAAATATTATTTTTTACACGTTGTGCGTGAGCATGAATTTGAAATTGAAAACTGAAATTTTGATTTTGAAATGCTACAGATCAATTTATCTATTATGCATAATATTAAAATCGATTAATTTTTGAATGTTTTATGTACGTACTTTCGATTTCGTGCAAATCGAAATGTGTACCAGTTTGTGCTCTGGATGATCTTTTGATTGTCCAGAAATTATTCTAATCGTTAATGATATTATCAATTAATTAGATAGATTACCCTCATATTTCGTTTATATTTCGCTTCATATTTCGCTTCATATTTCGTTTATTGTCACAGGGATTCTTAACTATGGGGCTTTAGGTTGGTTTTACCTAATATGAGTGATGCAAAGGGAAAACCTGTAAGTAAAATCTTATTCGTCAAGCACTGTGCCAATCTTAACCAATCTTAACCCTTGAAGAATTGTGATCAAATGTCAAAACACATGAACAATCAATTTTCTAGTCATTTCTGAAACACAATATTTATAAACGTATATACATTGTAGTTATCAGTTATCAGTTATTTCCAATCTTTATTATTGATCTTTTTTAACCTTTCTTTTTTGTTGTATATCTTTTTCACGAGCTCTTTATAGATTACTAACCCTTTTTACCATGTTATCATCTGGCTTTGAGCAAAATTTGTCACAGAAAGCTATCGAACAATATGAGCGAATATTATTCCATATGTCTACCTGCTTTTCTTCAGGAAGATTTAAACTTTCGACATTTCAGTAGCCAGAATTCATTCCAAATATCAGTGGTCCTGATTTTAGCTCTTATTATACTAGGTTCTCTAGAGCTAAACTGGAAAAAATGATATTTTTAAATCGCTGGAGGTTTACAGTATAATGAGCTAAGTGCTGAAGTCCAATCACGGAATGGTCCTATTTGATCCTTCAAGTTTACAGAAATATTATTGTTCGCACTCCTATTTATTACATTGACTAACTGGCCGACACACCAGACTTCTGATCTAGCATACTCCCTTTTGGTATTACCAAATCCACGATCAACAGAATTTCGAGTATGGTCCTTAATCTGAAAACGGTATTCAATCTTTTGGAACATTCTAATATGGCAAGCCCAAAAAAAATACCATAAAAGGCATGAATTTTTATTTTGTCCACCACAATAATCTGCCCATAGTCTAATTTTATTTGCCATATCTATACAGTTAAGAAGCTTTCACATTTTAAATATATTTTAAAGGTTAAATTGATTAAATTGCCCAACTCTATTTACTTGCAGTGAAGTAAGAAATAGATGCAAGATTGATGTAACTTCATTTGCTCCTTTTAATACCTTTCTTTCAGTATAAAGAGTATGCCAATAACGGTCAATACATTTATCCACTAACCCAAATTGGTGTATCTTTAACAATAATGAATAGTACCACCTTTCTGGTTGTTGTAGATTATAAAGCAGCTTCACATTTTGAGCAAAGTCAAAAAAAAAAACATGAAACGAAGACCAATTACTCTCTCTTGCCACTTGAAAATCATTTTTATAGGCCTCTCTCATAGCATGATATGTAAGGTAAACTGCTCATTAAGATTTTCATTTGCATTACTTCTTGCTTTTAATGCATTTTTAAAAAGGGTGCACTCATCACACACATCTTTAGATAGTTTTCTAATAATAATTTGGCCGAGTTCATTATCTTCTTTCCATATTTTTCAAAAGGTGCAATGACTTATGGATTTATCTGGATTAATTAAGTTATAAAAGGCAGAAAGGCGATTATTTGAATAGTGAAATGGAAGAAAAACAAGATTATGTTTTTCATATTATACAGTAAGTTGTTGTCTATTCACCTTTTTTCGTATATACTTCTGAACTGCCAATGCTTCACCATGTTGTTTTTCAACTGATTTAATGAAAGATTTTACTTCACTAACTGTCTTAACAAGTAACTTGTTAACAGGTAAATGGCCATTATTTCTATAAAGTCAGGGAAGCATTGATTGTTTTTCTTGAACCTGTCTATGAAAATAATAAAATGTATCTCTACTACATATCCAGAATGTTTGAAAAAAAGAACTACAAACTTCACTGAAATACAGCAGTTGATATTTAGTGTGAAACTGTTGATTGTGTAGTCCTTTATTAGAGAAGGCCATAAGTATTACCATCAAATAATGTTATTGTTTTTGTACATTTTAATACTTTCTAATACTAAAGATTGCAATAGATGAGGTGAAATTTAATCACTGCACTTCTTCTTACACGAACAACGTAACTTTAGTTTGTTGACTAATTCATTAATTGCAATTTGATGCCTTTCTGTTTTTTCATCTGTAGCATCCTTCTCAATAGATTCTGATTCAAGTAAGAAGTTTTCATCATTGTGCTCTATTTTATCGAGGTCTATTGTAGAAGAGGTAAGGTTTAGAGACTCAAAAAAAGAATTCTAAATCTTCTGGGATTTCCATTATAATAGTAACAAAAATTTTTTAAATAAATTAAGGGCTTTAGATCTTGGGTTATACACAATGGCTTATAATATGAAAATAAGTTTTTATATAAGTATATATTTGGCCAAGATCCTTATTCTTTATACATTTATTTTTTTATAATTCTACTACAGTCAATTGAATATACATAATTAGCTCTCAGACGGTTTTAAGCTAAACAATAACTTCCAAACTGTATAATGGCAAAGCACATAGGGTGTTGAGAAGGTGTGACTTATATATTTAAAGACTAAAACTAACTAAATCAAACACTCAATCAACTAATTCTACAATCCCAAGACTCTAAAGACTTTTTATATTTACATTTAACTCATCTTCAAATGCAAAACAACCAATTATCATAGTGATAGTTTTTTTAGTTAATTTTTCAATAAGCAATGATTCTCCCATATAAAATACTTTAAACTTGTATTCAGCAAATTTATTAGTTGCTGTTTGGTAGATCACAGACCCAGTACAATATTTTCCTGAACTTGAGACAACAACACTTTCTATAAAGGAAATAGCACAGAAGATAGAGGCTATTTGTTTTGTTGTAGTAAAACTGGTGCTTATTTTATTATTATTTTGCTATTATGAAGATTACAAATTTTTTTAAGAAAATTTACATTTTTAAATCTTTTTATAAGATTAAAATTGCTTTTCAAATCAGGTTGTAAATCAAAATTTCTAAATGCAGAGATAGCTTAAAGTTAGGTCTATCACGAGGCCTGATGAAGCAAAAAAAGTAAACCGAATATTTAAACCTATCTTGGTAGAATAAGAAAAAATGTCAGGGAGACCTTAATGTTAATTTAAATTCATGATGAACCTGGCTTTAAGCATCCTCTAAATGCATTTTAACAATTATGAAAGGTATTATTATTCAGAGACTTTGATTTGCAAATTTTTGTAAGCCCCTAAAAAATTGTATATGCAATTATTCTATATAATTGATTATTAATAAGAGTAAATTAGTAAATAAATTCTTTATATTCTATAAATATCATCATCACAATTACTATTTGATCAATTAATAATTTAGATGCTTGAGAATAGCCATAGTGCATTCGCTTTAAGATAGAGCATAAAAATATTAAGGTACATGTGCTATCGAAACAACTAGAACACTGATTGTTTATGTGTTTTTATAATTCTTCAGGGGGTTAAGATCAGCACAGTGCTTGACGAATAAGATTTTACTTACAGGTTTTCTCTTTGCATCACTCATATCAAGCATTCACTTTGCACTGGATGATTTGCCAAGCACATGCACCTATACTACTGTGTATACTAAGTTGTGTATTCACTAAGCAAGACAAACATTTTCACTAAGAAGCCTGTTCAATAAGCAAACTAACGTTCTTCGATTCCAAAGGAATCAATTCTCTCTTTTATTAGAGATTATCAATCCGGGTACTTAATTACCCAGTTACGTACACAAATTATGCAATACTTACAAATAGACTATAAATTAAATTCATGCATCAACGATCACGCCATTGATGTTACCCAGTCCTGATCAGGTAACCCGTGATCGTACCTAACCCTACCAGCAAATATACTATTGGGTTTCAAAATTTTTCACATAGCAATACATTACAAACTTTGATAATCAACTCCTTTCAGCCTGCAATTTCTTAGAACAAAATAATCTTGTTGATCAAGGATACAAAGTTTTATTATATATTGATAATGACTTTGTCAAAGCTCTTGGATTTATTACACTTTTTCTTTATTATATATCAAATAATGATATTAGTAAAATTATTTTAGACTCAACATTTAAAACTAACAAAGAAAAATTTGAACTTTTTTTTATTTTGAACAATATGATGGATTCGGCATACTATTTGCATATCTATATATTCATACTTTTTTAGCATTAGCAGAATGCCTACAAAATCCAAAAAATAATATTCACTTACAAATATTAGTTTTAAAAGAATTTTTTCTTTGCTAAAAGCAAAAGGAATTCAATCTATATTTATTCTTACAGATAAGGATACTGGTGAAATAGTGGCTGTGAAAATGGTTTGGTT